TTACAACAAAGCCTTGAAGGTAAAAGCCATATGCATTGTCTTACATAGTTTTGTGATGTTTGATAAAAATTATATTATATTAAAAATATTCATAAGAACATATTCTACTATTATTGTGGATTTGTAAAGAAAGAAGAGATATTTAAGAGTACATTAAAATTTTTTTATATATACTAAATCAATAAACAAATCAAACCAAAATCAAATAGTTATATCTGAAAATAAATATTTAAAAAATAGAAAATAATTATGATTTTAGGTGAATTGTCTGTGAGAGTAAATTCAAAGAATAAAAAACAATATTTTATTATCTTCTGCATAATATTGTTTAGCTTGATTTAATATTTCTAATGAAATTCTTACAATCGATTTAAAAGTTAAATTAATCAGCTTTAAACTTACAATTTTATATTATTTATTACAACTATAAATTAAGCTACATGATTAATATAATTTACTTTATGGATAGATGTAATTATGGTTTTAATGTTTCATTAAAATAAATTAGTCAGTTTTAATAAAATAACATATATTAAACACAAACCCAAAATATGAATAAAAATGAATAACATATATTTCAAATTATTAGCTTGGATGGATCATTAGTAAGTTGTAGTAAAAATTATATGCTCTTTTGAAGAAGTCTCATTCCTGAAGTGTATTCTTGATGTTCCTACTATTTGACCTTGGAAACAAAAGAAATCCAAAAGAAAGTCCCATAGAATTTACTTGGCTAACGTATTTGCATGATAGGGTTTTCAAGAAGATATTTAACTTTGGGCATCTAGAAAGTCATGTCACTAACTTGAGGGATGGGTAAATAAGAAATCAAAACTCAAATACTTACAGTTTTTTTTAATTTTCTCAAGGATATTTTTCTCATATGAAGTTTCCTTACTTTACTTTAATCTAGCCCCTATTTCAAAATATATATTCTTGGTAACAGTTTTTCAATTTGGCTTTACTTTCTGGAATTAAGCTTAATAGTTTGATAAACTACTTTGGAAAGGTATTCTTTTTTACTAAAGTGAACCTATGATAGAGGGTAAACATATCTCACAAGTGTGTTGCTAAAATGATGTATTAATTGGAAGAAGGAATCATTGGCACAAGAGGGCATTCTTTTAGATTTGCAACTATAAAGAGTAAAAGGGTGTAGTTGATGGGACAAGTGTTCCTTCTTAGAGAGGAATGAAACAAATATTCAGTAACAAATAATGACTTCCTAATGCACTATGTGCTCATCACATTTTATCCTATAACAATAGGTGTTTTATATACGTTCAAGTACCAACTTAGCATAGTTACTAGCACTTTTTGAAGCCAAAGGAATCCCTCCCTTTTCTAATAGCATTTAAAAAAACAGAATGACACATGATAACTGTAGCAATGAAACTCACAACTTCATGGACAATTCAAAAATATGGTATAGGGGATTGTCTTGATATATAAAACTTAGTCAACACAGTTTCCTATGATAAATTATTTCAATAGCTACAACAAATTAACACACCATTAGTAGTCATTGAATAAATATGTCATTATTCTTGCAGACTATCAAGGAGTTAAATAGATTGAATGCACTATTTGCATTAAATAAGGATGTCCATTGTGTTTAGCTTATACATGAATGCCCTTAAGAGTTTAATGTGGTATTAAAACTTTTTGGAGATCCATATAACTGACCACTTCATTCTCACAATAAAATCTATGGAAGGTAGTCTACATTGTAGTTAGATCTATTAGGGTCAAAATTTTCCATGAACCTGTCATTCCTTGTGATCATCAAGGTATGCAGCACACAGCAAGACATGATGTTGTTCGCAAGGATGCCTAGATGTCCTCTAAATCCCTTCTAACCAAGCAATTTCCATTGCCTCTTTAAAATTCCAAAAGATTGCTTGACAACAATCCTCATAGAAGAATGAAGAAAGTTGTATTGCTCTTTGCCATGAAATTTGTTTGGATATAAGACCAAAACCAGTAAAGCACACTTTTATCCTTTGTCAGCACAATTTGAATTACCATTGAGTAGTACTTTTTTGCCCTAGCATACCAATCTATTGCATCCTCTGATCCTAGGAGCTCAATTGCCATATCACCACAACAATTTGGTAATCCATGCAATCTCTAAAATCATGCTATAACTTCATTTATTCCCTCCTCATCTACCAATGGATCATTAGTCCTTCATGCTCAAGCAATGAATACCTGAATTAGCATAGACAAGCTTGAGTGCATGAAGCCACTCTAAATGCATCACCAATTATTTGCCATGTATCCCCGAATGCCAAGCGTTTCAAAGCAATAACTACTTGCTTTGAAATAGCTAAGTGCTACTTTGGTATTTTTGCCAAACCTGGAGAAGGCCTCCTAGCCAATTTTGGAGCAAGCTGGTCACAAAAAAAAGTGAATGTAGATACTAAAAAACTTCTCTGAATCTTTGTGGGTTTCCACAAAATATGGAGAACCTGAAGCTCTGTTTGATACTACTAGTGGAAACTTCTTGGCTTGATGTAATCCACACTGATCAATAGCCCTAGAAACTCCTTTTTAGTGATCACTCTTTCAATAAATGAAGTTGTAGTAGGACATGGCATAGAAAGTACTATAGCAATCGCTTCCTCCACCATTCGAATGAACAAAAACTTTCTTGAAACTGGAACTAAGATTATGTCCTCCTCCAGAAAGAACAACTCTACCAAATTTAAGTACCTCATCACAATCTCTACAGCATGGGAAATGATTGCCAAGGAAGAATTGCCAAGCTATGGCATGCTATGCACTCAATTTAGGGTAATAAAAAATGGCACCCTAATCCATTATGATGTGGAAAAAAAGAAGCTAATATGTAACCTTATGTGGCATATAAAAAAGAGGGTTACATGTAATGTAACCATTAAAAAAATAAGGAGGGGAAAGTTATTTTTGGGGGGGGGGAGGGGGTGAGGAGAAATTTCCAGGTGGGTGGAGCATAGAACCCCACCCTAAGGGAATTACTCCTTATTCACATGGGCATAAATTAAAAATACCTTGAGATGGAAAATGCTTAGTAGTCTATTGCTCAACCCCAATGAGCTTATAGAAGGTGATGAACCTGATCTAGAATGCCTAAATAATATACCAAATTGAGGAATATGATTAAGCCACCTCTTCATGTGTTGAATAATTCTTTTAAGCTTTGAGTCCAAGCTTGTATTATTCTATTCCAGTAAACCATTTAAGAAATAGTGTTTGGTTGCAATCACTAAGTAAAAACTAAATAAACCAAGTGCTTGTTACATATTGAACTTAAGCAAGTTTTAATAAATTGTTCTCTTTTTAGAATTAGCATCTAACTATCCCAGCGGAGCTGGGTTCCCTGCTAGTGCACTTCTATTTACAAATTTTAAAATTCTTCTGTTTTATCTAGTTTAGTTAATGAAAATAGTGTATATTATTATTATAATCTACAACTTAGAAAATAAATGGAAAGAAAACAAAAATAATATATATATATATTCATGACTTTATGAGTTTATTATTTCAAACTTAAATAATGTTTTAACATATAATAAAAAATTAGTTATCTCTCAACAGAAAAGTTAATTTTTAAAAATTAATGACCTTTATAAACTCTTAAGAAACTTAAAATAATTTCTTTAAGTTTATTAAATCCCTGTTCATTTTTTGAATCATTAAAAACTATTTATTTATGTATTTCACTATATTTTTAATTATAGTATGTTGCTATTTTATAATTTTTATTTTCTTTAGTTGTATATCTAGCAAAGGAAAAAAATTATTATAAATAAAGACCAATGGAAAATACTATTATTTTTTGTGGATTATTTTCTTAGTAATAAAACAAAATGTATATAGATTTATTTTTTAGTGTTTTTAAGAGCTCAAAAAAGATCTACACCACAATATATAATAAAATTTTCTTTAGTGTGAATACATTTCTTTTTTAGATATCCTACATCAAAACAATACTAAAAATGTAAATGCCGAAATGGCAAGTCGAGACCACTCAATGTCACAAACTACAGAAGGCAAATTCATACAGGCTCATCCAGTGAAGCCTTAGAAGATTTTCCCTGGAGGCGTCATGGAATATCTCTTAGTGGCCGCTTCACATGGGAACATTGGTCTAATCTCCATGGATTTCTTTTCTCTCGATGTAGACTTCTGTGTCACGTACCCAACGCATCCTCCAGGCTTGACACAGTGCTACAGAAATTAGAATAGTGGTTCTGCTCATTGGGACCATTATAGGCAAGCCAGTGAAGTTGCTGTCATTGGCATTGAAAACATCACTTCCAATGCTCCTTCCTGGCTAACAGGTAGTGGGCATGTGCTTATGATCCTGTCCGTTGTCTTCATTGTTGCTCCACTTTCCCTGGTGGAAAGAATGAGACAGGTATAGATTTCACAATATTTTTCATTGTGATTTAACTTCTCCAATGCAGCTTGAATTTTTTGCAACTCTAGGAGCATCGATTGTCATCTGGCTGCTCGTCATAAGGGTCATAGGTGCTATCAGGTTCAAGCTTCCTGCGGTGAAAAACGGAAACTGTCGGCTTCACAACTATAGGCAAGTTTCGATTGTATTTAGTCATTCTTGTTATCTGAGACATATCAGTGGATTTAGGCTCTATCACTCAAGCTATTTCGACATTTGGTTTTGCATTTTACGTACAGCCAATGATTGGTGATGCACTGAAATGCCCGTTGGTAAAGTTGGTGTGAAGCTGACCTCCAGTTGTATCGCGAGAAGTCGGGGGGCCAGCGCTGCCAACGTTGAAGTACCTCTTGATCTTCCAGAGTAAGGAATGCACTTGGTAAAACCTTTCAGTGCTTAACCTCGTGGACTCGTCGAATAACGCAATCGTGGGAAACGACGGATCCAAGCACATAGGATCGACTCCGAATGCGAGCTTGCAAATGCTGTCGAAGGCGAACCGCATGAACACGTCTTGCAAGTCGACTCGTCGGCCACAAACGCTTGCAATCGTTGGAAGCAGCCTCTTTTCAATCTTCTCGGCCACAGAATCCATGAGGTAGTCGTGTAGAGACCTCGTAACTCGCAAGTTTTCTCTGCAGCTTCCACAGGCCAGCGTCAGCATTGAAGATACCATCTCCAAGAAGATCTCTCAGCGTGTCACACACATAGTCTCCCTTTGGATACTTGTCGACGTTGGTCTTGAGGATGTACTCTACGTTCTGAGCGTTGGACGTGAGCTTGAAGGGCTTCGCTCCTCGCTTCAACGTGGTGGTGTGTCCGGGAGACTTGACAAGGTACTCAGTAGTCCATTTGAGAATCCTGTCCTTGTTTTTCAGCAGCTGAGGCATTGTTCCCAGAAGAGGATACATTCGGGGAACAAACTCACCATTACCATGTCGACTTTTCAGGTAGAACCAGACGAAGAAACCAACACAGGAAATCAGCAAAGCAGCAGCTAAAGTACCTTGCTCCATATCTCGCTGCCGCAGCACCGAAAAATAAGCGTCTCCTCACCTCCTCTCGATACAAGAGCCTCTTGGTTTGTTTGGAAGTAGATAGGGCCGGCAAATGCGGTATATGCTTCATACTTTTCTTTTTCCTCTATGTTCTACTATTTGCAGGCTACCAACTCTCTTAGACCCAGCCTTCATCGTTAACGTTATACCGAGAACAATGTTACTTCGTTATGCTTTGACAAGAGCCAGAAGAACCCATCGCGCCACCATCATATCCCCAAGAACGAGGACGAATGTAAGATGAAGCGACAAAGTAAATCCTGGCTGAAAGTCAGGACTTACCAGGACTGCCATCCTGTTTTTCTAACCTGCTACTTACCACCTATACAGCAGTCACATACGCCATTGACAACTTCCAACGCCTTGCTTCTCGGAGCCCCTCTTGAGCTTTCAGACACCGGATGGATGCTGTCAAATGCAAACCGCAAGAACACGTCCTGCAAGTCTAAACACTAGTTTTCTCTGCATCCGGTGTCCACCAGCGTTGAAGATCCAGTCTCCCAGTTCTGCGAAAGTCAAACATAGTCAAAGCCGTAAACAGCAAAGCGGATGAAATGTTCCTAACCCTTTTCTTGCTCGTAGCATTCGATCACTCTAGAACTTATCTTTTAAATAAAACACGTATTGAAAGCACACAACTTATTCTGCTACGATTGTTGCTGCAATAGGAGACGATCTGGTGTTGTGTTCTAACTCTAGCCCTGGGAACCCAAAATCACTCAGAAGAAATCCAGCTAAAATTTGGTCAGTCATGCTAGGTACGTTCCCAGTTGCATGCATCTTGTTCCATCTAAATCTAAAGACAATTTGCATAGGTTACTGTGACGGAGTGACCACCCTCAACATATACGAGTGCATTAGAGACGTGTTGAAGTCGTGAATTTTTGTTCAGTGGCAAGTTCCCCTTAAACAAATATTGCATTATTCACCAGTTTCCAAAATGGTACACATCATTCACGGGCTCCGAGCTCCGGAATTAAGTTGTTCAAAACTTCTTTCCTTCAGTTGACTCCCCATATGTTTGACTGTTTGCTGAACTTTGAAAATGTTGAATTATAAAAAAATTTCATGTCTAAAGATTTGGAATATTGGCACCAAATTTCAGACTAACGAAGCTTGGGAACAACGGGAAGTCCATCTTTCATGATCAGCGTCATGTTGATACCGTAGCAAGGCTCTTCTTTTCCCACCACCAGCTCAAACTTTGGTACCAGAGCCGCCACCACATACTTCATCTGTAGCATGGCCATCTCTTTGCCCAGACACACTCTCGGCCCGGCTTGAAATACCGGAAACTTGAATGGACTGACCGCGACGAACTGGCCATCCTGGATCCATCTCTCGGGCTTAAACTCGAGGCAGTCCTTCCCCCACAAGCTCTCCATCCTTCCCATAGCGTAGACGTGATACGATACCTTCATCCCCTTCTCCACAGAATTACCATCCGGGAGAACGTCCGAGTTCTTCACGACCTTTGTGTCAATCGGTACTGGGGGATAGAGCCTCATTGATTCGCACAGAGCTGCTTGCAAGTAGACCATGTCCCGAAGCTCTTCGTAAGTGAATGGCCTGTCTGACCCTTTCGCGACTATACTCCCGACTTCCCTGATGATTTCCTGCTGAACGCCTGGATGATTCGAGAGCAGCCAGAAGAACCACGAGAGTGACACCGCTGTTGTGTCCTTGCCGGCGAGCACGAAACTTATGATGATATCCCGCAAAAACTCGTCAGAGAAGCTCGTCGAGTCGAGTCCAATGAACCTCGAGAGCAAGTCCTGGTTGACCCTTCCTTTTTCTTCTCGCCGCTTCTGGACCACTGACACTGCAAACTCGTTCACCACATCCAGCACCTCCTTGAGTTCTCTTTCCGGTCCAACGTTGAGAGCTCGCATTAATTTCCACACCAGAGGATGGATCTTTTGGAACCGCAGCGTGCTAAGCGTCGTTGCCTTGTCAAATGCCTGCGCGAACTTCACCTCCGGAAACGATGGATCCAAGCACGCCGGATCAACACCGAAAGAGAGCTTGCAAATGTTGTCGAAGTTAAACCTCATGAACAAGTCCTGTAAGTCGATCTCCTTCCCATCCCGGGAAACACTGGCAAGAGTTGGCAGTAACCGGCTGTGAACTTCGTCCGCCAGGGAATCCATGAGGAACTCCCTCAGTGACCTCGTTGTGAACTCGAAGCTCGCAAGTCTCCTCTGAATCTTCCACAGCTCCCCGTCGACATTGAAAATACCATCTCCCAGCAAGTCGGTCAGGCTCTGCCTCAGGTGTTCTCCCTTGGGATAATTCTCGAAGTTGGTCTTCAAGATGTGCTCCACAGTTGCGGGATTGCCAGTGATTTTGAAAGTGCTGCCAAACCTCCCAGTGGTGAAAGTATTGGAGGGAGAGTTGATCACATACTCTGTCGACCACTCGAGAAACCTGTGGCTGTTGCGAAGGAAATCGAATACATTCCCAACCACTGGATAAAGTACTGGACCACCTGTTCGTTGCGAGTCGGCTCTTGATTGAATCGTCCTCCGGACTATCCAGCCCACCGCTGCCGCAAGAACAAAGCTCAAGCTCCACAACATACCTTGGTTCATGCTGAAAGCCCAGAAAAGGAGTGACGCATGTCAGTCGCCCTGACCAGTTAAAAACCCAAGTCACGAGGGAAGAAAAGCCAGCCAAAGGAAAAGATTCGAAGAAGCTCCCTTACGAGAAGAGACACGGCACGCACTTGAGACGGTGTAGAGGCTCGTACCAGTGGATCTGAAAGTCACCAAGTCAAGTCATTACAAAAGAAATCTAGATTTCTAGTACCTTGTTGAAGTTTGGAATGACCCATGTTTTCTGTTGAGACCGCTCTGTTTCCACCACCCGAAACTTAACTTTTGGAACCAGAGTTGCTTCGTCTGTAGACATGTCTTGACTCGAAACTTGAATGAACTCGCACTGATCCATCAAACTCGAGGCAGTTCCCACACTAACATTATCTGACGACTGTAGTATCATATGGGAGGATACAGCCTCACAAGTGTAGAGCTCGTCGTAAGAGAATTTACCTTCGCCAGAAGAACCAGGAGCAGTTGTGTCCATCCCGGCCAGCAGGAACTGATTAACTCGATTCAGAGGTTCTTACTGAAAGAGCAAGTCGTTCAGATCAAGGAGTGAATTCTTAGAAACTGGAGTTGCTTACGTATGGTCGGGCTTCATGAACTTTGCGTGAACCCAGACTCGCTTCATAGGAACTTTAGTTTTGTGATTCAGCTTAATGCAGCAGTACTCCAGTTCAACCTGGAAAAAGAACAGACAGAATAATAATAACAAGGAAACAAGCCTCGTTTTACCTCGAGCAATCCAGCACTCGTAACGAGATCACGCACGGCTTCGCACGAGAAGAAATACGACAAAGTACCATCGAGACGGCGATAGCAATTAGCAGCTACTTTTTGGTCTGCTGGAAATCTCAACATCGTCATGTCATACAAGCCTGTAAGCTTGCCACTGTGAGTCTTACTTCACGGAGAAATAGCATACCATAATCTCGAAAGAGAAGCATTCCACCGGGTCGGAGTACAGAGCAACATTCTTTGAGAAGGTTGCTCATTTGATCCAGATCTGCCAGCGCGGAAAGAGCGAAAATCTGAAAAGACAAATCAGTTTTAATTGCAAGACAATTTCAGGCTTACCAGCGTGATGAAATCTGCTCCGCCTTCGCAGCAGCTTACAAGGAAGCTCTTGATACCAAAGTCGGAGGCTCGACAGGCGTCACAAGCCAGCCACGCCGGAAGTGCCTCACAGGAAGGATCGCAAACAAAAGTCCGCAGCCTCGACGTTGCTTGCTCATTCAAAGCTTTATCTCCCATTTTGTTTGTGAGGCTCACGGCAGCCTCACTGAGGTCGCAAGCATACACTCTAGCGGTTGTTGTTGCTCTGGAACAAAATACGTCCTTCAGTAAGAGGGAATAGCAAACAACATCAAACCTCAGGATCGGAATGGCCGAACTTCCAGCTCCACATCCAACCTCCAGAGCAGTGAACTCTTGATTAGATCTTCCAAGCTCAGGGAACTCTTTGAGAAGATACCTACGTTCCTGCAATGTGGAAAGCCCGTAAGGCAACAGTGCAGTGCTGATGCTTACTTTAAAGAAGATGCCTTGACAGTGTCGGCTGTGAAACTTCTCCCATGCCAAGGCTGCAGTACAGGTATGCTCGCTAGAAATCGCTACGCGAGCCAAATCCTAGCCAAAGGCAAAGAGAACAAGCCATTAGGAAACGATATAATGTAAGCCCAACCTGTGCGCTTTCCACCTCTTCGTGCAGATCATTCCAATCAAAATCCTTGGAGTAGTACACGACTTCTTCTTCCATGAGACCTAAAACGAGAGGCCAAATAAGAGTTGAATTCAATGTAGTTTTAGTCAATCGCTCCAATTGTCCTCGTCGGCTTGCACTTGAGCCGCAATAGTTCCTAGAGCTTCGTCCTGAAAGACAAAATCGCATCCATATCTCCTGTTTTTCACCACAAAGATGCTGCGCTCACCTGGAAAGCCGACTGTTTTGGAGACCAGACGAGTATTCTACGATCATTGCTTCCACTGTAGAGTTCCTGGGAGAAACAAAAGTATAGCTTCTCGAGGAAACAGAGAGACGATATCATACCTGTGATTGACTGTGATAAGCACAACAGTTTACAAGTTCGTAGTGTCCTTTTAAGGTGGAAAGCAAGCGACCGCTCAACATATCGTACACCTGAGAATAGAGAATTATTCCGAATAGAAGGATAGGATACGTCGTACCTGTATCGAGGTTAGACATGGAACGAACACCAGTGGCTTGTCTCCAGAGACCTCAAGTTCGCACGTCAGATTTCCGTTTATGTTTGTTGGCTCGTAATTCACAAGAGTATTTCTATGTCCCATAGCTTGACTCTGGAATCACTGCCTGGCACATTTTGTTCTTATGATTTTCGAAAGTAAAGAAACAAAACAAACGAAGCCGTACCCGCACTAAGAAGGTAGTGTCCGTCTGGAGCGATGTCACTGTGCCATAGTGCGCCGTGGAACGGTCCAGAGCCGAAGTCTAGCCGAAGTTCAGTGGCTTAAAAAAAAAGACAGAACAAAAGAGAACGAGAAGGAAACAATTGCCTTCCTGAGAAGCAGAAGAACGATGCTGGTCAAGAACATAGAAGCAACCCGCACGTCTTATGTCCCACAACCGGATCGCACCGTCACAACCTCCGGAAATTAAAATCCATTCGGAAGATGCAGACCATTTCACCGCCCAAACAGCATCTGCAAGTACAGGAAACGTTTTGCAGGGACAAACACAATCTCGAATACCTCGGTGAGCGCTAAGGGCATGGGTGAAAGCACCAGAAGATATATCGCAAAGCCTTATGCGATAGTCCTCCGTGCCTGTAGCTATAAGCATGTGAGTCGTAGAAACGGGTGACATGCTTACACCGAAAACCTTCCTGGCATTTTGGATTGCATCAGCACCTACAAAAGAACGATTCAGTGAATCAGATACCAACAAAGAAAAGGTCTCCAACCTCGAGAGTGTTTGCATCCCAAACATTTATATGCTTGTCGAACGAGCCAGAGATAAAAATTCCAGTGTCCACTGGATACCATCGAACTGATGAAACGCAGTACCTATGGGCTTTGTCCATAGAAAAGAGAGCTTCGTGCTTTTGAGAGTAATGCTCCACCGTCGTTGGCTGTGATATGTCATAGACACTGATCGATCCATTTCCATTGCCAGCAAGCATATATCTAGCTTCCACGGGATCAATCTAGCACAAGATTTACACAGTAATTTTCAAACTGTGAAAGAAATACCTGCAAGCTGTTCACAGCGCCTCTGCCAGACGAAATCACATCCTTGGTCTTGCACAGCTCCAATGCGCGAGATCTCATCCGGCGAACAGAAGCAGCGTAGCGCCATGGCGGTGCCCCGAGCTCGCGCTCTCGAAGACCACTCCACATTGGCGCCACACCATAAACCCTAAAGAAAATTACAAATATAAAAATATTCCACGTGGCACAATACCTGCCCGGTGACATTCTACGTGGTCCTGACGTGGCACTATTGTCTCGACCCTGCAATAACATATTATGTATTGTTTAATCTCCGATCATCAAATCAACTCAAAACTCTTAGATGGTCACAATCAACTCAAAATGCTTACTTATAGGTACACTTTTACTATTGCTTTATCAATTGAATCATGCCTTACCCCTAAAACAAGGCAAACTCAAAATTTTCCTTACAAACAGAATATTCATTTGAAATGCTCTTGGGGCTTTTTTGCAATTTCAAAAGGCAAATAGACGGCAAAATTCTTTACATTTAGGAATTTGTTTAGGTCACCGTGACCTATGGCTATTGGCGTGCTCGCTCTCCAGGGCTCCTTCCACGAACACGTTCTAGGTTTGTAGCATCTCTAGTTCCAAAATGCCGCTCGCTCTTATCGATTGCGCGGCGCAGCGCTGCGGAGATTGGGCGTGCATGCGATCGAAGTGAGAAAGGCGGATCAGCTGGAAGGGCTCGCGGGGCTGATAATTCCCGGCGGCGAGAGCACCACAATGGCCAAGCTCGCCAATCAATACAATCTCGTGAGTTCTTCCATCGCTTCTAAACCAGTTCTAGAGAACAAAAGGAAATATTTGCTTTGCTTGCTTGCTTTGTAGTTTCCAGCGCTTAAGGATTTCTCGACGTCTGGAAAGCCGATGTGGGGGACTTGCGCTGGACTTATTTTTCTAGCAGACCGAGCTACCGGTACTTTTGTTCTTCGTTCTCTGACTATCAAGGCTTTCTGTAACTTTCTCTCCACAGGGCTAAAGGATGGAGGACAAGAGCTTCTGGGCGGACTAGACTGTACAGTTCATAGGAATTTCTTTGGAAGCCAGGTACTAGTTTTTTTTCTCTCTTAGACGCATAGTTTTGATCCTTGAGCTCTTCAAAAATCAATCCAGGTGAATAGTTTTGAGACGGAGCTCGCTGTTCCGGCTCTGGCGGCGAGCGAAGGCGGTCCTCCAAGGTGCCGTGCAGTTTTTATTCGTGCTCCTGCCATCGTTGAGTTTGGATCTTCCGTAGAACAGATAGCGGACTGTGAAGTGCCGTCTTTCAGCGCTCCACCTTCGCTCGAGGTACAAAATTTCCATTGCCTTAGAAGCTGAAAGATCTCTTTCTTCGCATGGAACTTTCACAGGGAGAAATGTTTACGAGAAGAAGGGTCGCGGTCGCGGTGAGACAAGGAAACTTTTTAGGCACTGCGTTTCATCCGGAGCTAACATCGGATACTCGATGGTAAGAACAGTTTCAAGAGATTGTTTCTTCTTCTTCTTTTTGCTTGATGGCTGTATTGCAGGCATAGCTACTTCGTGAAGATGGTTCAAGCATTTGAAGAAGTTGCAGCCAGTTCAGCGCTAGTCCCGCAGAAGTTTTGCTGCCGGAACGATTCGTTCGAGGAGATGAAGGATCTCCCCATCTTTGAAGGCTTGGTGCAAGAAAAAATTCTCTAGTAAGTCCAGGCAATACATTCTTTCGGAAACTCGATGCATGAGTTTCCAAAGTTTCCATGAGCTTCTTCTTCTCGGCATCAAGTACGTGGAACTTCGGGTGGAAGTGGCGAGCCGTGCTCGCATAAGGTGGCTGTCTCTCTGTCCCTAAAGCAGCAGCACGATCCAGCCAAAGACGATAGCTTGCAAATCTCAAAGGAATCTTTAGAAAAAACTATCGGCCGAAGTACCTTTTTGCAGCTCCAACAAGCCGATATTTCGAGACTTCCAATATGAATCCTTCATGGCTTGGGAATCCAGCCATCGCCCTGGATGAATTCTTGAGCGGAGTATGCCGAAGTTTGTGAAGGATTTAGCTGTGTCGACCAGGGAACTCTGTGGCTCGCATCAGCACCAGGACCATAGCTTTCGTACTCGGCGAAGAGCAGTGTATCAAGAGCGAAGTCTCCCTTCCAGGCCAGCCAGCCTTGCGGATCCACAGAGCTTGAGAGGTAGCAGTCGAGGAAGACCGCTCTCGAGAACATTTTCCAAGGCCTCCCCAAGTACACGTGCAGTTTCTTCGGTGCTCCACCCGAAAATTCTTCCGAGGTCTCGACGGAGCACTTGTGGAACACGAATCCAATTGTTTGAGCGGGATCGATCCTTCCATGAGCGGTGACCATGCTGGTATAGACACCCGTTCGTCCAGGACGGACAACGAGCTTACAGTTGGAGAAGAAGGCCGCGGCATTGCCAAAGATGAAGTCGACGGTGCCAGTTATGGTGCAATTCTCGAAGTAGTGCCTGTTTGTGTGAGAGTAGAGCGTGTCCTGGTAGCCTTCGAGGGTGCACGACTGGATGACTGCCTTGTCTGAATTGATCCGGAGTGCCACCGCTTGATGAAGCTCGGGACCGGCTGTGTTCCGAATTGTCAGGTCCCGAGCAACAAATCCATCTCCAGCAACCACTAGAAAAGAGAACGAAACAACGAGAAAAATCAGCTCATAAAAGAAGAACAAAATGTCTGTAAAGGAACTTACACACTGTGGCAGTATCCATGGTTGTCACGCCTTCGCGGACGTAATTGTTGCCGGAGATGATCGTTTTCCTCGCACCGGCACCCACGAGCATGATCATGGTCTTGGAGTCAGAGACGTAAATGCGCTCGTCGTAAATCCCCTCTTGAATGTAGATGGAAAATCTCTCCTTGCTATTGCTTGGAGCGCTGTCGATGGCCTCCTGGATCGTCTTGAAACTTCCACTCTTGCCAACCACCACCGAGAATTTACGCTGCTGCTCAAGCTGGATCCAGCTTGATGGACGCAAATCTTCCACTGGAACTTCTCCTCCTCGAGTTCTTCCAAGCGAGAGCTCTCGCTTGGAAGGAGGTGGCTTCCAGCTTGAAACGTTGTCTCCATAGAGAGCCCAAGCATCGGCCATGGAGAGGGCATTGCTGATCAAATCCATTCCGGCGTTCACCTGGAGCATCACCCTCTGGACCTCTGTGCTGGAATTCACGTAGCCAAGAGCCGAGAAGCAATCGTACTGATAGGCTAGAATGCCGCTCAACCAGGCCTCGAAATCCTTCACCACCGCGATCGATAGCCCCAATCGCCGGAGCTTCTCGTAGCGATTGATCGCAAAACCAAGGACCTGGACGCAATCGCTCGATGCCGCCGTGAGATTCTTGTTGCCCCCGGCGCGATCACGGATCCCGGCTGTGAGATTGAAGCTGCGAGAGGACGATTGCAACGCCAGATCGATCGCGAGCGAGATTATCTGGTCGGGAGAGGTGAATCCCTGCCTGGACCGGGGATCCGCGGCGATGGATGAGACGCATACCTCCGGATAGCGCGTGCCGTGGCAGGCCGAGACGATGAAGGGATCGACGTCGCGATTATCGCCAGGCCTTGCCAAGAGGGACCGCCGGCTGCCGATTCTTCCCGCCGTGCTAGTAGCAGCTGCGAAGAACCCTAAACCCGCCACTGCCAAGACGAGCAGCAATGCGGCTTTCCACCGCGATGGAGTGGCGTCGCTCTTCGCCATTTCTTCTCCTCCTCCGCCTCTCCCTTGCCGAGGGCGTTGAGGCACCGCAAGCTCAAAATCTCCCTCCTCCTCGTCCAGCATTCTCCTCCTGTGCTTCACGATCGACTCAATCGCTGCAGGCAACTAGCAAAAGTATCAAAGCGATCGTCTCGATCGATCAAGACAGCGACGAAACTTGTGCTTCTCGTGATACCGCCTGATCACGACAAGCATATTCAATGGCGGCAAAGCATATTCTGCCGGCAGCACATTCCGTCTTGCCGGCGGCCGATGCTCGCGAGTACGAAAAAAGCGCGCGTACGGCACGACCACGTCTGTCGCCAGCCTGTCCGCCACCCAGGCGGGTCCCACGGGCTGTAGCCGGTAGTGCCGTACACTAGCCACCGGTTCATTTGCCCAGGTAGGCAGTGAGCCGGTCACCCGCGGTACGGCCGGACGGCCTCCATCGGTTTTCTGCGATACTCCCCACGAAGTATGCACGGATTCACAGCAAAGACGACCACGACGAACAACTAGCTGGAGCTTGACGAGGGCTAGAAGAGCTCCACACAGCGGCGCCGATCATTCTTGTCAATCCAGGGAGCTGCGCGCTGCGATTGCATTCTCGGCGCTCGCGCCGCCGCAATCGATCGAGCAAGAATCGTCGTCTCCCTCCCTATCGGTGCGGGTAAGCGGCTCAATCCATATCCAGGGTCCCGTTTCCAGGCGAGAGAGCGGTGGAATTCGCGCGCCCAGGGATTTATTTCTTCGCGAGGTGAGAGAGAGCGAGGAAGAGAGAGAGAGAGAGAAGAGAAGAAAGATTTCTTTGGCCGGGAGGATTGAAGAGAGGGGGAAATTGGAGCAGTTTTCCGGATAAGGATCTCACAGGAGTTCGTTCTCTCGCTCGTCACATTTAAGGCAGCTCGACAAGCGCTGGCTGGGAATTTCCGCAAAGGACAAGCATAGTTAGTTCGAGTTCTTCGTCGGCCGAGGTAGAAGCAAGCGAGGCTATGGATTAGAAACGAATGAAGCTGGGAAGAATTGGAGCAGCCAGGAGGATTTTTTGGAGGAGAAGAACAGGCAGTAGCAGCAGTGGTGGTATCAGCAGCGGTGGTGTTGGTGGTATCGTCATCGGCGGCGGCAGTGCTAGTAGGACGACGACTTTGCGGTGGTCACAACAGCATGCAGTGTAGAATTCGCGAGAGATATCAATCGGGTGATGCCCCTGAGCAGCGAGGAAGCCCTCCAGATCGTGACTTTGGTGCTGCTGGTTTGTCTCTCCGGATTGGGGGTTGCATGTATAGTCTACGTATTCAGCTTTCGACGCAAGATCATCCATGGTCGAGGCTTCAACGTTCGTCATCTCCGGGAGTTCAACTCCCCGTGGCTGCTGAGAGTTTTGCTGAGCAGCCTGGGAGCACTGTGGCTGCTGCTGGAGCTACTGAGACTCCCGATTCTCCGGAACCGAGGCTGGGCTTTCCATGGCCTCGATTTTCAAGAACAAGCCAACGTCTGCCGGAGCTACGTGCTTTTGACGCTGGGATTTGCAGAGCCGGGCTTCTTCCTAGCAGCGCTCTTCCTGATCCGCCAGTCGCTCCGCAGTGATCCATTCAGCTTCATGGGGCGACGAAGGTGGCGGCACCGCTCCGTGGTCTTCATCGCTCTCCTCGCTTTGCCAGCGGTCCTGGTCCAGCTCTTCCTGGTGTTCATCGTCCCGGCGATCGAGTACTCGAGCTTTTCAAGTTTTGCGGAGCAGGACGAAGGATTCCGAGGCGCCATTCCAAAGTCGTTCACCATGGCGTTCGTGAACGAGACGAGAACAAGGACTACAAGCAGCAGCGGCGGCGATGGTGGCGGTTCCACGACGACGATCACGGCGACGAGATTCGTGGCGGCTTGCCGGGTTCCACTCCTCAGCACGGTGGCGACGAGCATCTTCAGCGTGTGCTACGTCGCGTATTTCTTGTTCCTGGGCTGGAAGATGGTGCTGCTCGTCATCAACAGGAGGCTCCAGATCCGTGTCTATGGCCTCCTGACGGTGGTGATGGTGCTCGTCCCTCTCCACGTCCTGCTGCTCGGCCTCTCGTCCTCGGCGCTGGCGGAGCACCGGAGTGGCAAGCACGAAGTGGTGGCGTTCTTGCGGTTCCTGGTCACGGCCTGCTGCGTGAGCGTGGGCGAGTGGATGCTGGTGGTCCGGCCGATCAAAGACGCCATCGGCGTGCTCGAGGCGGCGCTGCGGCGGGGCGGATCGATGAAGGTGGTCGGGCGGCTCAATTCGTGGGGGGCGATCCCGGTGGATCAGCTCTCGCTCAGCGTGGACGAGGACAATCGATCGCTCATCACGGAGATCTCGGTGGAGCTTACGCCGCTGGCGGGGATGGCGGGGGCGGCGGTGGCGCCGCCGAAGAACGAAGACGACGAAGACGAAGAAGCAGCAAGCTAGCGAATTGCCTGCTTTTTTCAAACCCAGCAAAAGATGCGGGAGCATATTCTGTCCAATAAGATTCCAAAATATTCGTGTTATTTAAAAACACTTTGGTCGTGTGATCGAATCGTGTCCAGCGCAGGGCGGTTGTTTTGGCTCCAATCATTTGGGGCATGTTTTGCCTCATGATCGTGTCCGCGAATCCACACTGCAGGGATTTTGGAATTGGAGGCTACTGCGATTAAAAAAGAGGAGGAAGAGATTTTCGACGCTGTGAGTGAGTGGAAGCTCCAGCCAGCGCGATCCACCAAGTACACGATCATATCCACCAAGACTAAACAAAAAAAGAAGAAATCGAAGCTCTTGCACCTAGCTAGCAGCTCTCGGCTATGGCGTCCAGTGCGATCTTTCCCCTTTTCCATTCTCTTTTGCTCCTTTTGTGTGAAAGGAATATGGCTGTTTGAGCGAATCTTGCCATTCCCAGCTGAGGGGAAGACCTCTGTTTTTGGGGGCGAATCTTTCCTCCCCCATTCCTCGATTTTTGGTGCCAGGCTCTCTCGCTTTTGTTGCGTAGCAAACGTTCCAAGTTTTTGGAAAATCTGGAGAAGCGCCCAGTGAAAAGACGAGAAATGGAAGGCTTGAGTGAAGAGCTACGCAGTAACCGAGAGAGGAGCTCTGGCAGCTGCTTCGATCCGGGCGGATCGGCCCGAATCGCGCTCTTGGGTCGCGTCGGATCGGCGTCGCCCCACATTGGGTCCCCGAGAATCGATCCAAAATCCTAGCTTGAGCGCTAGTCCGAGGAGCCCACTTCGCCGATTTGATCGATCTTATGAGGTATAGGCTAGGCCGTTGTTCTTAGTTCTTTCTTTCTGCCCTTTTTCTTTCCCTCCCCACTTTGTGGCTCGATAGCGAGCGACCTCTTTCGTGCTACTGGATCGATCCTCCTCACAGTGTACTTGTCACAAAACCACTTCCTCTCTTTCTTCTTTTTCTTTGTTTTTCGCCTGGCCTTGCCTACATTGTCTCCTCCTTCCACCATCTTCTCTCTTTGCTCGAAAACGATCACGCTTCCAAGAGACATCGATTTGGACAGGAAGATTCGGAGCCAGGAATTCGATCGAAAGGAGCAAAGTGTGGCTATGGAGGAGGATTCTCCGTAAAAGGTGGCTACTCGACGCAGAGAGCTTTCGCGATCCAATGAAAGGTATGGCTTTTCTCCGGAGACGTCTGGAAGGATGGAAGCGAGGAGTGAAAACGCTGTTCTTCATGACAAGCATGGTCGGATCGCTGCTGCTACATTCCTCCACTCCACTGCTGCTGGCGCTGCTCGACGTAGGGATCCCGTGCGTGATCCTCTCCACGCTCGACTTGGAGAAGCGATCATCCTTTGGATCCTACGATTTTCGCTCGTCGCTCCTCGACATTTTGATCGTTTCCATTGCCAGATCCTTCGCTATAATCTGTAAGTCTTCCACCTTTCTCTCGGTCCCTTTCGTTGTTGGTTTCTAGTTTTTTGTCGGTGTCGCGTGTTTTAACTCGCACTTCTTTGTTCTTCGACCGTGCTTGTCTAGTAAAGTTGGCGATTTTTTTCATCCAAGTTTTCTTAGCGTTTGCGTTTGTCCGAGTGTCTGTTCTTCCGACTTTTGCGTGGGATTTCGTGCTCTTGTCAACTTCTCGCGTGGATCATCTCCATCTCTGGAACTTCTTTCTTTGGCGAGGCTTTGTATATAAATTCTCGCTTTTCTCGGCCGTGTTTGTGTCAGTGGCGTCCTTGTGTCCTTACGATTTGTGCTCCTCGTCTTGTCAGTCAGTCCTCTCTTTCGTGTTCTTCATGTCGATTATCGCTAACAAATCATTCCCTTGGTGTTCTTCCTCCGCCAGCCGCGTACGCTCTTGGAGGAGTGCGATGCGAGGCCTACTTCATGATCGCCGCGCTGCTGGGACTGAGCTCGGCAGCGCTTGTGGCTGTCAAGGCGTGCCTCTTTTTCGCCGTGTTCTCATCATCGTCTTCCACACCAAGAAGAACACCACCAGCAGGATCACTCTGGAGCAGCACTACTAGCAGCGCTAGATTTGGAGTGGTGATGCTCTTCGCTTCATCATTCGCGTGTGCCTTGGGGCATGGAGTTTCAGCATACAGGACAAGCTGCCAGGCAAAGAAAAAATCATTTCCCCAGGGAGATGAAGAATCTGTAAGTTTTCTGTTGATCACATCTTCCTCTTTTTCCAGCTTTTCTCTAAGTTCTCTTCTCCATGATCTAAAGTTCTTTCCTTGATCCTGGCAGAATTTCTTTTGTAAATATATCGTCAAGCTCAGGCGCGGCAAGCGCTTTCGATCCACGGCGATCTTCCAAAAGCTCGGGAAGAGCGACGAGGATGACGAGCAGTCGCCGCTGCTCGTTAACAGCAAGTTCATGCTCTGCAAAGGCTTGCACTTGCACTTCAGACTTTGCGAGGGATGGCCGAGAGACCAGAGAAGTTTTCGATCGAAATCGCTGTCGAGGAGTGCAAGCTTACCATTTCCAGGATCAAAGCCACTGTTTCTAAGCTCTTCGTTGAGCCTGCCGTCCAAAGTTTCTGGATGGTGTGATCGAGGAGGAGAAGAACATATTGTGGACATTGATCCGGGAGATTCGAGCTCCAAAGGAATAGTTTTGGTGCATGGTTTTGGAGGTGGTGTCTTCTCGTGGAGGCATGTAATGGCTCCGCTAGCTCGACAAACCGGCCACAGTGTTGCTGCGTTTGATCGGCCTGGCTGGGGACTGACGAGCCGGCCGGGCAAAAATGGTGGCCGTGACAAAGATGGTCTTCCCAATCCTTACGAGCTCCAGTCACAAGTGAGTGTTCTATTCATCGTCGTCTAGAAAAAAAAAAAAGAGTTTGTTCTGTTGTTCTTGCTTGTTTGATTTCTCTGATGAGAGCTCGCAGGTGGATTTGCTGCTGAGCTTTTGCCAGCAACTAAAATTCTCATCGGTCGTGCTCGTTGGTCACGACGACGGTGGATTGCTCGCTCTTATGGCAGCTGCCAAGATCTTGAAATCTCCAAGCTCAACGCGGGTAAGCTTCAAGCCACTATAGTTGGATCATCTCATGGATTTTCATTTCTGCGATGAAGGTGGTGATCAAAGGTGTGGTTTTGATCGCGGTGAGCTCCTCCAGAGAGGTGATATCGCCATTTGCTCGAGTTTTGCTCCACACTTCTTTGGGACGGCACATACTCCGGCCATTGCTGTGCTCGGAGATGGCGAGTCGCCATGCCTGGCACGATGCTTCCAAGCTTACCTCCGAAGTGATGGAACTTTACAAGGTATGAGGAAAAATTCGAACTTGATCAAAAGATTTCCATGATTGTATACATCGATCCAGGTACCCCTCCGTGTCGAGGGATGGGATCGCCAAGCACTGGAATCGCAAAAGTTCTCATCCAGCAGCGAGCAAGTCACTCCCGAGCTCCTTCGTGCCGTGCAAAACCTCCCGGCTTTGCTGGTGGCCGGGATGCAAGACATGCTCGTCCCTCTCCAAGCCGTCCAAGATCTCGCGTCCCGGCTCTCCAAATCGGTAAGCATCAATCAATTTCTCTGCCTTTCCTCCACTTATCGATCGATCGATCGTCGCCCATCTAGAAATTCATCGCGCTTCCTCGCTGCGGCCACCTCCCGCCGGAAGAATGCCCTGGAGCCCTGCTCGCGGGGCTGGTCCCCTTCATCGCGGAGCATCTCGGCCGTCCATCCGTGTAATTTAAAATTTTAAAAAGCTTGAATTTCCCGCCCTAGTCTAGGCTTTAAAAGATTCCACTATGCCACTAGTTAGTTCGATTTTAATCCCGGGTAGGTGGGGGCCAGAAAATAGAAACGTGACCCCCCATTGCTCACCAAATCGCAAATATCTGCCAGATCTTTTTACGATGGATCGAGATTCTCTTACTTAAACAACCGCAGAGTACGTGGGCCAATGGAATGCGCCGTGGGAAATCACATGTCCGGCCGACCAAAAGATAATGGATCAGGGAGATCTGGGCTATGGCGGATTAGGGTTAGGGTTAGGGCAGGCAGGGGCGCGCGCGATGGCAGCAGCGGTGAAGGAGAACGATCGCGTCGAGGAGTGGGAGGAGGGCCTGCCGACGCCGGAGGAGCTGACGCCCTTGAATCAGAGCTTGATCACGCCGGAGCTGGCCAGTGCATTTAGCATCTCGCAGGAGGCGGCCAAATCCTCGTCGGACGTGCTGCACGCCTCGATCGCCACGGTCACGGCGCTGCGGCGCCAGCCATCGTCGTCGCCCGGAGGCGTGTTCGAGTCGATCCCCGCGTTTCCAGTCGCGGCAGAGGAGGAGATTGACAAGAATGCCGCGGCGGGGAACGGGATTGGGGGTTTCGCGGACGCTGGCGCTGGGGCGGGAGCTGGAGCTGGGGCGGCTGCGAATTCCTCGCTCCAGCCGGGGCAAGCGGGGAATTCTTTCCAGTTTCAAGGTACGCAGGGCTTTGATCCGGCCAGGAGAGGTGAGGTTGGCGTCGCCAGCGCGCCGATGATGAGCAATCTCCCCTACAGCCCCTACGAGCGGCGGCCAGAGACGAGCTCTGGTGGTGGAATGGGGGCCGAGGACAGCAGCAACACCGCCAAGAAATTGAGGAAGCAATCGTCGGATCTGGGCGAGGAGGAGGAGGCCGACTCTGGCGGGGGTCCCGAGAACTCCGGCGAGGAGCCGGCCGCTAGAACTCTCAAGAGGCCGAGGCTGGTTTGGACTCCACAGCTCCACAAGCGATTCGTGGACGCGGTGGCGCACCTGGGGATCAAGAACGCGGTGCCAAAGACGATCATGCAGCTGATGAACGTAGAGGGTCTCACGCGAGAGAACGTCGCCAGCCATCTCCAGAAGTACCGTCTCTATCTTAAGAGGATGCAGGGGCTCTCGAGCGAGGGGCCGTCGGCCTCAGATCATCTCTTTGCCTCCACGCCGGTTCCTCCGGGCCTCGCCGCCGCCGCTGCTCATTTCATCCCCGGCCATCGCGACGACGTCGTAGCTCTTCCATTCTCGCCGGTGGTGCCTGTGCCGATTGCCGGGCTTGGAGCTCCTCACGTCGGTGCCGCGTTTGGTCCCCGGCCTCCTTACTCGGGCTTCGAGCACCATCCTTACGGGACTTTGGGGAGGTCTGTGCCTCAGAGGATGGGTGGCGGTCCGGGGGATCACAGGGAGATGGTGATGGAGAATCAAGGACAGCCCGGCTCGTCGCCTCCCAGGCGAATTTTGACGCTCTTTCCAACCAGCAGCCATTGACACACACATACACATACACAAAGAACACACTACACAGTTTGCGCTCGCTACGTCGTCTTGTACATTCGTTTTGGAGATTGTTTTCCGGGGTGACCGACTATATCTTTTGCTCGAGACCGCGCTTGTCGCTGTATGGTTTCCAGGGAGCAGCAAGAGAATCAAGCGAGCGATCCAGCCAGCCGCGAAGTGTATAGAGAGAGCGCTGCTCCACACAGCCAACAACGATTACAGTGCACACTACAGTGGCGATTCGACAAAGATGGGAGAAGAAGTTGAAGAAAAGAGGATGGAAGATGGAACAGGGAGGATAGAATTGACCCGATCTTTTGGCTTTGTCACGGCCCGAGTACCAAAAAGTTTGGTTTTTCATTCCAAGGTACAAGATACAACAGCTATGTGTGGACCCATGACAGCTAAAGCTTGATTTTTTTTGGTCCAGGGAGCTGTACAAGACTATTCAATATAGAATGTTCGCAGCAGCACGACAATGCATAGGTGTAATATTGTAAGAGTTTTTTGGAACAAGCCAGCTCCTGTCGCGAGCTTTTGGAATGGGTGACTTGGTTGATTCTCGAAGTACAAACGGGGAAGAGTGGAAAGCTTTCGCGTTTTTTAGATGGAAATGCTGTTTGGGACTCCTCTTCCAGTGAGGCCGGGCTTGGAGTTAATACACAGCAGCGTGTAGCCATCGACAGCTCCGTGCCGGTTCTTGAGGCTCGGGTTCTTGTTGTTGGCCATCACCTGGTGCTCCACCTCTCGCATGGCGGCCGTGAAGTTGCTAAAGGCGGCGAGGACTCGAGCGTCCCCGGTCCAGTTCTCGCTCTTGCGCTCGCCCAGGTACTCCTCGTCTGCCGTGTGAGTTGACAGGATCTCTATCGTTGTCATCACAGTTGTAGCTTCCACTCTGGACGAGATTGCTGACAGATAAAACTTCTCGGGGTTTTGCAGGAACTCCTCGTGCTCCTTGGTGCCGGGCTCCGGGACGAAGCGGTGCGCGATGGTCGGGCGGTTTGCCGGGTAGCCGGCGTAAGCGTACTGTCCGAAGTTGACGGCGGCGTGGTGTGCCGAGGCCAACCAGATCACCGTGGTAAGCAACTCTACCAGGTTCTTCTTGGAGTCGAGCTTGAGCCACCAGTCGGCGTCCTTCTTGTCTGCGTGACCGACGTAGCGGATCTCGTGCCACCAGCTCTGGAGCTCGGTGTCCGCCGCTACTGACGCGTCCTCCTTGTAGAAGATGTCCGTGTAGTCCGTCACCCAGTTTTTGATAGCGTCCCAGATGTTGAGGCCGTCGACCGCGTAGGGGTAGTCCTTGATGATAAGTTCCAGTCCGTGCTTTGCGTTTGGATCCGGAACAGCCATTTTCCTGATCATAGCAGTTTTTCGTTAGAACAAAACTCGATCTTTATTGGTTTTTTCCTGCTTTGGTTACCTCTTGATCAAGTCCGCTGGGAGTCCTTCCTGGTCGAATCTCCATGAGAGTCCATAGACAACGGCGCTCATCTCAATGGAGTATCGTCCGGTTGTGAAGCAGTCCTCGATGATGCCCCCGGCGTTGATCAGTGCCTTGCGAGCTCTCGCGTTGATTGACATTGTGTTCTTGTAATGTGGCTGAAGTAAGAGGAGGATCGGATGGAGAGCGCTGAGCTGCCTGTAAGTGGCTATGATGATTGGCTCCATGATAGCGTGAGTCTTCAGCCTGATCATGGAACGTGTTCTTTGTTTGTACAGGGAAAGAAAGAAAAACTTCAATGAAACTTACCAGTGACTGACGAGTTGATGGTATCCAGCGTCATTAACTGAGACGTGAGCTTTGGCAAGCTCCCAAAGCCAGTCCTTTTTGTTAGTTGGAGGTAGGAAAACTCGATTGCTCCTCTGACCCTTCTCTCCTGGTGCTGGAAGGCTCAGCTCGATGGCGACAATCTTCAGAGTTCCTTCGTTCGAGAGGAAAAGTATGGTGCGTGTTCCGTATGTTCTTTTGTTCTTCTGAGCATTGATGATGTTTAAGTATGGCAGGAAAACATCGTGGTAGTCTACAATGAATAGCCTGTTCTTCTCAAGCGCCTGAAAGTTTTTTCACGTAAGTCTCTTTTGGTTTTCCTTGTCTAGAAGATGTACGTTACCTGTTCTACTGTGAGACCTTGAAGCTGGGTCTGAATGTGCTCGTTTGTCAATGCAGTGGCCTGTGCTCCAAATACAGCTGGATCCAAAGAACTTGTGGGAGGAAAAGTTTCGAGCTTCGTGATCAGCATGGGGTTCAATCCGGCGATAGTCTGTCTAGCGAACTCATCGTTGGACATCCATGTATCGTCATCACCTGGCACAAAAGATCTCCGTCAGCGATCGTCTCTACACAAACCTGTGAGCGAAAGACTAGAACCTTGTAAGATCTGTGGCAGTGGATACTTGAGCAGCCCCGCGTTGGCGTCGTCCGTGGTAGTCAGCTCGTTTATCAAGGTAAACGGATTTCGCACTTTCTTCTTGGCTTCTTCGTCGGTTAACGGGTTGACACAGGTTCCCAAGTCGATACCTTCTTCGTACAGAGCCTTGATCTCGTCGAGGCTCTCGAAGCTGGCTGCCCGGTCAGCATAGAAGGTCTTGATTGCTGGGACAATTTTGTGAGCAAACGCTTTGATGGAGTCTCCCAAAACACTGGAACTCCTGATCTTGGCAGTTTTCTCGTCGGGTGGAAGATACATGTCGTCGGATGACCAGCTCTCGGATAAGCTATCTAAAATACGGAGAAGAGTAGAGCAGGTCAGTACGCTGCTGCTGCTAAATCTAAACTCCTTACCAGTTCTTGCAGGCTTGCGTCCAGTCCGAATCCTTCGAGGATACTGAAGCTTCGCACCTCCCAAGACCGGTCTTTTGAGTTCCGGCTTGGCATCGGGATTTCCAAGATCGTTGTAGACATCATAGTCGTAAATCCTGTCGCCTGGGACACGCGTGCCTTCTCCAGTTCCGCGAATGCACTTGAGCTCGTTCTCGCGGATGGTCTTCAGTCCCGGGGGTGTAGAGTCAGGCAAGTACACCTGCAAGAGGTAAAGTTGGATTAGAATTCTCGCTCGACTGCTGCTAATGCAAAATCCGATTTTGAACAGATCTGTACCTGGTTCCTGAAGAACACGCGGGGGCTGCTGTACTTGGAGGTGTTGTGCACCCACGACTCGCAGGGAAAGTGGATCGTAGAGCCGTCCGGGGCGCTCAGTGTCAAGGACTTGAGGAAGAACTGGTTGGGATGGTGGTTCCGGATGAGAAACGCCCCGGGAGTGCCAAAGTCACTGTCCACCGAGAACTGGATCTCATACTTGACATCTCCAGCAGACAGACCGTCGAACGACAGAAACCATCCGCTAATTGCGACCTCGGGGCTCGTCTTCCCGCTTCCAGTGGCTGCAAAAGCAAGAGATTTCGTTCAGAGTCCCTGCTGCGGCTGCTGCTTACCAGGATCGACGAGCTCGCTTATCAGCTGGAGTTTGACTTTGTTTCCAAACAAGTCGTTGGCGTCGTCCCAGAGA